TTGAAGTAAAACCAAACATTAAGCTCGAGCACTCTAAACACAAAATTAATTTTTATTGTTTACACTTCTTAGAAAGTCTGAAAATATTTCACACAATATTTTTTAAATACTTCTGTGCATGAAACAGTTTGTGGTATTGTTGAAATATGAAGCGGCGGGGCTGCGTCCCCAACACCCCAGCCGCTTGGCTAGCTCACGCCCGAAATAACAACACACAAACTGTATTCATTTAAAGAACTGCTTGGCCCATGAACTCTAGCCCTTACAGGCTAATTCTCGCACCTGGTCTAGCCCATTTCTAATGATGTGTGTAAGCACCCCAAGGTGCGCTTACCGGAAAGATTCTAGCCTAAGTCCATCGTGGGTTGCAGCTGCCTGGGAGAGCTGAGCATGGCGTCTCTGCTCCAGCAGAGCTGTCGGGTCTCTCCGGGAGCAGAGCAGAGTCTGACCTCACTTCCTCTTCCGCCCAGAATTCTATTCTGTTTACTCCTCCCATCTATGTTCCAAGCTGAGGCCAAGCAGTTGGTTTATTATAACTTAACCAATGAAATCAACAGATTGATATATGACACTCCCACATCACTTCCCCTTTTTCTGTTTAAACAAAAAAAAAAAAAAAAAAAAGAAGGCTTTAACTTAACATCCAAAACTCTAGAAATGACAGAGACATCTCGCTGCCTGGACAGTCACCCAAAGTTCCTCTGTACCGTTGGGGCATCCATCTTCGGCCTACAGGCCCATAGTTTCCAGCAGACATTTCCACAAAGCAGGAAATTTCAAAGGCAGTCACTATCTGCTTGTCCTGAAGAATGTCTTGCAGACTCTTTCATGAATCAGGAACCCCGAAAGATCATCTCACCTTTAGGCAAGTTCAGCAGTCCTCTCTCTGCGGGTTCTCTGTGTCCAGTTTATGCAATAGTCCAGGCAAGAGCAGTTTCTTGCCCAAATGGCTATCAAACTCCATAAGGATCCTCTTCGATGCCCATCTTCCTCTTGAAGTAGATTGGTGCTGCCAGGAGCAGAGTGTCTCATTGTCATGAAAAGTCCTAAGTTATTAAAACATTTAATAGCATATTCCGTAGTCTTTGAAAGATATGAAGAATGCCGATCTAACTGAAATATATATCTATATATCTAGAAAATCTAACTAACATGACTACAAACTTGACTATTATTAATGATTATCCATTAACAACCTATATACATTACATTTTTAAATGAACTACACAATCACAATACCTTAATAAAGATCAGAAATACATATACATATAACAAAACTGACCTTAAATCTCTATCAATAAAGCAAAATCTATACTAATGCAAATTATTCATATCTATATCATATCCCCCTTTAAATGTAAAAGAACATTTATAAACCATATTTGGGAACATGGGCGCAGTTTTTTCTCTCCAAACTGCTTCCTGCTGAATGGGGGCGTCGTTAATTAGGTCTTTCATGGTATAACCTGTGTGCTAGTTTCATCTCAGTTGGCAGTTGAGCGAAGCAATTTTCTGAAGGTATTCACAGCAACCGTTCAGGAGGGCGTGGTCCATCATACCATATCGGAATAGAAGAAATGAACAGGGTCTCATCCTCTGTGAAAACAAAAAAAGAAACTCCTTTCCAAAGTATCATGTCCTTAGATCCAAATTTCAAAGTCAAGGCATCAAAATCTCTACGTTGGATTAGTTCAGCAGCATTTATAAACAAATATCTTTTAGCAGCTGTTGCTCCTTCCTCAGCATTCAAACAATTCAAAGAGAGCATAATAGTATACAGTATCAAGATTCTCTGTGTATTTTCCATCTTTGTACGCTTTATTTTAACCTCTATTTCGTTTATTTTTACTTTTATATTCTCTGTATCTCTTTGACCTGGAATAACTCTGTAGACCAGGCTGTCCTTGAACTCTCAGAGATCTGCCTGTCTCTGCCTCCCAGGCATTGGGATTAAAGGTGTTTGCTACCACACCTTGAACTCACAGAGATCTGTTTGTCTCTGCCTTCTAGGCACTGGGATTAAAGGCGTGTACTACCACACACAACTTCTCTTTTTCTTATTTTTTTTTAAGAACTTTTAACTTTTAGCTTGCATATATTTTTAACACACTGTAAATCATTTAAACATTTTCTTTGTCTTTGAATCTCTTTACTGTATATCTCTCTTTTTCTGACCACACGAGCCTTTAAATTACTGAGCAATATGAGTAGGATTAAAGCCGTGGCTTTGCCAGCTAGATCCAGTCCATTCCTTAGCTTTCCGGCCTCATGGCTGAGGTACCGGTTGTAGCCACGTTTACTGCCACAACTCTATGGCATTTCAAGGTCCCTGCCAGCAAGCGAGCTTCAGCAGCCTGTGCTTGCAAACCACACGAACCGCCTGCGTAAAAGAGTCAGAGTTTGCCGTGGCAGGACAGCCCAGAAAGCCAGCATTTTTAAACGGCACAGCTTTTTTCCTGCTACAGCTGAAAACCGAAAAGCATGCGTTCAGCTTTTCACCAACACCATTTAAGTGTTTCGTGGCAGGACCTCTTAATGAGCTGCAGGGTTTTGCAGCTGAAGCTGAGTCAGGAAGCCTCTCTTAGATGAGAGAGCTTGCTTGCCTCTAGCAAGCGGAGTAGACCCAAGAAATTTCTGCTACCAAGAAAACATGCTTCACTCCATTCTCTCCCAAGCTTTCTCAGGCTTTTTTGTGGTTTCAGTTAGCCACACGTCTGGGCGCCATCTGTTGAAATATGAAGCGGCGGGGCTGCGTCCCCAACACCCCAGCCGCTTGGCTAGCTCACGCCCGAAATAACAACACACAAACTGTATTCATTTAAAGAACTGCTTGGCCCATGAACTCTAGCCCTTACAGGCTAATTCTCACACCTGGACTAGCCCATTTCTAATAATGTGTGTAAGCACCCCAAGGTGCGCTTACCGGGAAGATTCTAGCCTACATCCATCTTCATGGTATGTGGAGTTTTCATTTACAGCAATGATGTTGACACTCAAAAAGCTTCAGATCACTCCCGATTCCAAAGACCAGAGGAAAGATGCTCAGCCAGTACTTAAAAACCTTTGATAGACCAGCCTGATAACAAGGTGGGCTTTAAGAGCATTGTGTTCCTGCGCAAATCATGAATGCCAAGTTCTCATTTTCTAATCTAGAAGATGGTGACATGACTTCCTCGTCCACATTAGTATTATCATTGCAAGGACTGAGAGAATGTACAAAAAGGGGCCTAGAGTCCACAGGGACAAGGTGTGGGGAGTGGAACTCCCGGGAAAGACTCACCAGGCTCCTCAGTGATCACCGTCATTTGATGTAGGTGTGAATTCTGAAGGCGTTTCTTATCACAATTCATAAATTTCAAGAGTACAGACCTATCCCCAGACCACCTGCAAGCCTGGTCAATGGTAAGAGAATCCTGTATCTACACTGCAGAATTCAGTGCAAAGACAGATGGCAAACTGGTTCACAGAGCGGGGGAAGGCACACTGGATCTTGAATCTTAATTCATCAAGAAACTGAATTTTAACCTGGTTCTGGGGCGTGGCAACACAAATTTGTAATTCTGACACTCAGGAGACTGAGGCAGGAGGATCACAGGCTGGAGCTGTGGCTACAGCCTAGGCTGTTTAATGAGTTCAAAGCCAGCCTGGGCTGCAAGTGAGACCCCTGGGGAGACAGCTCAGTGACTAGGAGCCCCTGCAGCTCTTTCCAGAAGACCTGAGTCCAGTTCCCAACATCCATGTCAGGGAGGGCACAGCTGCTTGTAATCTCAGCTCCAAGAGATCCAGTGCCCTTTCCTGGCCCCATTAGGTGCCTGTGTGTACCTGGTATTCACTCACACAGACACAGACACAGACACAGACACAGACACAGACACAGACACAGACACAGACACAGACACACATGATAGACAGACAGACAGAAAGACCAGTCTTTTGTGTGGGAATTGAAATTGTTGAAGCTATTTGCTTGATGTGTGCATTAGTTAACTTGTTTTGTTGTTGTGGCAAAATGCCTAACAGAAGCCATCTGAGGAGGGAAGGCTTCATCTTGGTTCACAGTTCCGGTTGGAGGACAGCATGTGTAGGATTATGAGGCACTGAATCTACAGTCAGGAAGCAGGCAGCCATGAGTGCTGCCGTTCAGCAGTAAGTCCATGAAACGTCCCAAGATCCACCATGACTAACCTAGTCTAGAAAGTGTCCTACAAACATGCCCAGAGATCTGTTTTCCTGGAGATTCTGAGTCTTGTCAAATGTGTAATCAAGTTTACCCATCTCAGTTCCACACTGCATCTAACTTGACCCTGAACTGCACCACTGTCCACCTTTCGATTCTACCATTCTCAGAGGACATTGGCAGAATAAGGCCAGAAACTTCATTAGCCAGTCCTCCAGGTTCCACATTTCTCTCGGCATTCTTGGTTCTAAACGCTACACAAAGTCATGAAAATAAAACCCTAGGGAGAATTTTCACATACTGTTCACCCGGATTCCTGAGCTGCTGGCAGATTACTTATGTCATCACAATATAACGACCAAAACCAGATAGTTAATGTTGGTAGAATTTATTTAGTCTAGAGGCATCCAAATTCTCCTAACTGTCCCATTATTGGCCCTTTTGCTATGTGGATTCCAGTTAATGGCAGGATCGATTATATTTCTTTGCTGTGCGGCACAGTTAATCTAGATCCTAAATGAGATCTGGGACACTTGCTGTGTCAAGGCCTAGACAGTAAATATTTACATTTCATGGGTCATCAGGTTCTCTAAGGGAACCACTCAACTCGGCCAAACGCGGCCACAGGTGTGGCTAAACAGATGCACGTGGCTGGGTTCCAGTCAGTTCTGCGTGAACACCCCCTTGTCCTCTAGACAACTTTTTGTGGTTTTGGTTACCACGGCTAGCTGTTGTCCAAAACTATCAAACGGAAAATTGCTGAAGTGAATAACTCACTAGTTGTGAGTGGTGGCCCGTTGGGTGGCGTAAGAGAATCTCGCAGTGTCCCACTCCACTTGAATCATTCCGGTCCAGAGTGTCCGCTCTGTGCACGTCCTGTCTTCAGTCACCTGGGAGCCAGCCTGGCTAGCACACCACCTGGTACAGCACAACAATGCTTTTGTCCAGCGGTAACCAAAAGCCCTTAACAAAAGCCCAGAAGGACAAGAGTAGCGTGATGCTGCCAACTTGGGAAGGCTAAAGAAGGCACACTGCACTTCTTGGTAAGTGATGTCTTTCATCATCATAGGAAGAAGGGTAAGCGTGCTGGAATAATCTGTTATGGGGGGATGGACTCGTGTAGCTTTTATCATGCTGTACTGTTCCATTTGTTCCCTTTATTAATAGCTATTGCTAGTCTCTTACCGTGCATGCTTTAAAAATTTGACGCTGGTGTGGAAGGATAAAGCGGGGTGCTAGCCATGATTCCAGGCATCCACTAGGGATGTTGAACACATCTCCTGTGGAGGGGGAAGAGGACGCTCTATTAGGAAAACAAACTGCCAGCTGAATTTGACTAAGGGGCCTCGGAGCTTGCCTATTCTGGACCATTAGTTCCTGACACGTGGACCCAGACCCCCAACATGTGTAACATCTAAGGGTCTGTGTCTGGTACAGAGCCTCAAACCCACAAACTGAGTGAACAGTCTGTGTTTGTGACAAGCTGCCCATGTATCCAAAGCACAGATACAGAAACTTCTGAGTTGCCCTTTGTTTCCAGTAACTTGGTATTTGGAGTTGTGCAGGACTGTTGCCTTGTAACACACCCCTCTGGTGTGTTCTGGTTGGATGCATATTCGGGATAAAATTCAAATCACATGTTTTTGGCAAAATTATGCCAGGAAATGAGTTGTGTCCACTTTGTGGTGCTTACAAGGCGGCACACTGTATCAATTTGTTTCTGAATGTTGAGGGTTACTGTTCTCTTGAGGGTCTTGTTTCTCCACCCTAAAGTTACTGTCTTTCTCTTTGTGACAAGTGAGTATCATGTAGGAAAAAATACTTCAAGACTGAAAATACTTTGATCTGCACAAGGCTGGGCAGGTCAAGATTTCATTATGAATAGAAGAAGGGTTCTTAAGGCCCCACTGCTCCCCAGGAGACTAGTGGGAGTTAAAGGGCACTGGGGAAGGTTTCATTTTCTTTAGGGGTATAGATGCCAAAAGCAGCCCATGCTCTGGTAAATAGCCTACCACCTACGCCCACGCAAGCAAACCTCATTTTTCTCAGTGGGTTGCATGGGGAAAGTGACATGAAAATAGGAGGAGACTTTCTAGGAAGAGGAAGAATTTCAGCAGAAGAGGGAGTATTGAAAATGGATAAAATTCACTATATATAAGTATGAAATTTTCAAAGGATAAATTCGAAACACATTCATGACTCATTTTACCATCTACTAACTATTCTTGATCTTGAAATAATGATTAGTGTTCTCAAATAATGGCTTTTTCAATTATTCTTTCCAATAACATTTAGCTAAAATTTCACGATGTGAACTTCCTTAATCTCTCAAATGTTCACTCTGTTATTTATCTATGATTATGAATATGATTATGAACCTACGCCTTCTCATTGTCATTAATCTTCCAGCCTTTCCAGATTAGCAGAAAGAAGCCCTCTCAGACAGGCCCCTTTGTCTTTTTGGCAAGACATGCTCATATTTCTAGGCTGAGGAATTTTCATCTCTGTTGCCTGTTTCCTGCATTCCACGCTTCTCACCATGCACGAGGTCAAGAAGCATGTATGCTTGTCGTTGGACTTTCTTTGGAACTGCCAGTTCCCAAATAATGGCACAGAAACTTCTTATTAAGTATGAAAGCTTGACCTTAGCTTCAGATTGTTCCAGACCAGCTCCTATAACTTCAATTAACCCACTTATATGAATCCAATCTATGTTTTGCCATGTGGCTTGCTACCCCTCCTCCATACTTTACATCCAACTTGCTCGGCAGCTCGCTGGCAAGTACTACCGTGCTATTCCTTTCCCGGAGCTCCTCTCTCTCCCCAGAAATCCTACCTGTCCTCTCTTGCTGTTCAGATCTTTATTAAACCAATCCGAAGTTGATTTAGCAGAGATATATCTTCACAGTGGACTAAAAGATTATCCCACAGCATATACTATTTTAGCTACAGAGATTTAAATTTTGTATTTGCGCGCGCGTGCGTGCGTGTGCGTGTGCGTGTGTGTGTGTGTGTGTGTGTGTGTGTGTGTGCTTGTCTGCATGTTCAGAAGTCTGGAAAGGACAGAGAAGCACATCACATTTCTTGAAACTGGAGTTACAGGCAACTTTGAGCCACCTGGTATGGATGCTTGGAACTGAACCTGGGTCTTCTTTAAGAGCAACGAGTGCTCTTTAACCACTAAGCCATCTCTCCAGCCCTATGCACAGAGATTTTTTAAAAGAGACAGAGAAATACAATTAAGAAAGGATGAAAGCAAAACAGCACAAGGCTAGTAGGGCTGATGCCTGCAGAGAATTACCTTCTCAGTGTTTTGAATTCATCTTCTAAGGTTTATTTTTATTCTCATTATATGTGTATGGTGGCAGGTGAACATGAGTGCAGGTGCCTGAACAGGCCAAAAGTGCCACATCTCCTGAAGCAAGAGCTGTAGTGGCTGTGAGCCACCCAATAAGGGTGTTGAGTCTCAGGTCCTCTGTGATAATAGTATACGCTTTTAACCACGGAGCCCAAATTTTGAATTCCTAATTTACTTGTGACTATAAAGTTCTCCCAAATGATGAGATGCTGATATCATCAATCATGCCAATATTAGACAACTCAACCCATGTAACAAAAGTGAGGATCTCAAACTAGAGTTCCCAATTTCCCATCATAGAAGAATTTCCACATGATAAGCAGGCCCTTTCAGTAGACCTAGTTTCTTTCTGTCTTTGGAATTAAGCAATAAGTGTTCTGTCCAAAACCAACAACAGTATCACTCAGACGGGTCATTAAAACATGGATTCAGGAAAAAAAAAAAAGATATTGTGTTCTGCCCATAGTTTTGACATTCCTGAGGATGGGATTATAGCAAAGCCTCTGGAGGTGAGTGGGGTGTGTGTCATAGGCCCACAGTGACGCAAGGCGCAGGCCAGCTGCTGTGGATTGCTACAGACAGCCTAGGCTGGTCCTGACACCCACTCCGAATGGCTTATGCCGTGGGTTAAAGTTCAAAAAGTGTGACAGATGAAAGGTGGCACTGGGAGGCCAGGGGCCCACAGTCTGACCATTCATCATTCCCACAGATGGAACTGAGAGTAGCGATTCATTAAGTTAATTTGTGTTTCCTTGCTTTATTTATTTACCAAGCACTTACCAGGTGGCATAAGACTCTTGAGAGAGTACTGCCCACCCCCCCTTTTTTTAAAGTGCCTAAAAGATTAAATAAAACGCTGAAAAAAGTCAAACACACACAGATAGACACACATGGAAATGATATGTGCGGGCAGGTCAGGGAGAGGCTCAGCAGGTAAAGGCATCGAGCCCCATGACCCGCAGTCCATCCCCAGGACCCACATGGAAGGAGAGAAAGGGCTCTTGCAAATTGTCCTCTGACCTCCACACATGTGCGGTGTCATGTGCCACCAGCCCCAAGCACACACACACAATAAAAACAAAGACTTGAACCAGGCCAGAGTTAGTGGGAGGAGAAAGGCAGCCACAGCTGCATAGCGAATTCCACACAGACAGCTTACACAACAGGCATCTGTTACCAAATGCTTGCTGTGGGTCAGAAGGCTGGGCGTGGCAGGCTTCATGGCTACAGACGAGGGTCTCACAGGCAGCAAAGGCAAGAGCGTTAGCTGAGCCCACAGTGACCTCCGAGAATGATGCGACGGGGACTGTGAATTCACTTCCCAGATCACTCACATGGTTGTGGATGAGAAGGTCTAGGCCCCTGCTAACTGTTCCTTGACACTGGGGTATCTCCGGGAGCCTTTCTGATGTCCTCACGGCTTTGTCGCTAGCTTTTGAAAGGAGTAAGTAACCCTGACCCAGAAGATGAAAGCTGCAAAAACCTTCAAAAACTAACCATAGGCAGGCATTGTACCCCACACACTAGGAGACTGAGGCAGGAGGGTCTTGAGCTTCAGTCCTGCCTGGGTTAAAAAGGGAGACCCTGTCTCAAAATCCAAACAAACAAAACTAGACACAGAAGATAAAGGATCATGTCTACAGTATTTTGTATGTTTGTTGTTCTGGTCAACCTTATTCAGTATGAGAAAGAATTCACAGGTCACAAGAGCAGCAGGGAGAGATAGCCATAGGCCCCTTAGAAGAGGATGCCGGGGGAACACAGACATAACCCGTCTGTTATGACGATATTGGGAGTTACATAGTTATATGAATTTGTCATCACTATAGCTAAAACTTGCACATTCAATGTACATACATTATTCAAAAACTAAGAATAATTGTAATGACCAGGGAAGACATAAGAATAATTATAATAATCACATGCTTCATAATGGCATTTCAGTCAATGATAGCTTGCGTACAAGAAAGTGGTCCCATGAGATACGTCGCTGTTGTGAAAGTTGTCTTAAATTGTCTTTGTCATCAAGCAATGCATCAGCAAATCCCTGGATTGACAAATACTGAGTAAACGAGCTGTAATTTAAGCACTGTGTTCTTTTGGGAACATCGGGAAGGTGTTTTACATTACCAGTTCTGAAGCTATCAAATAGATGAGGGGATATTTGTTTGGAAAAATGAATCTGCCACTAATTATATTTAATGTTAATTTATTGACAATGTGTGCCAACTTTTTTTCTTTTCTTCAATTTTTAATAATAAAATAAGGACCCAGGCTGGGGTTGGGGCTCAGTTGTCAAATATTAGACCCAGTGCCATTGGCCAAGCCCTCCTCAGCATCACGCTCCTTGACTTCACGAGCTCCTCGCTTCTGCCTCCACTGTTCACTCTCTATTGAAGAAGTGGAAGTTCTTTAAGTGAGAGGGTGAGAAACCTTCCTTGGAGCCTTCCCTAACTCCCAGCTGCTGGCAAGAGGAGTGCATTCCTCACTTAGCATGGCATTCCTGGTCTATACATCTGCTTTTGTGCCTGCTTCTAGCGTCAGCCCCTGCCAGGCTCCCACTTGCTTCTGGAGTGGGGGTCCACAGCTCACCATTAACCCACCTTTGGATTCCGTAAAGGCTTGCATACCTAAGGGAGCCAGGGATTCTTGTGTAAGAGCAAAAATGAACCTTGAAAACCAGCG